GTTAGTGGTGATCCAAACGGATTTAATTCTGGTAGTAGTGGGTAAGACGAGCAGCACCAACACATTTCTGAAGGCTCCGCAGATTAACTTTTCCGTTGACCTACTTTTCCCTGCCCCGTTACCCCCTTACTCCTTCAGCTCCTCCCCAACCAAACCCCCCATAACCCTCGACAGATATACCTTTCAGGGAAATCACGGGTTCGCTCCACTTTTGGGCAGTTCCTATACCCCTCAAGACGAATCAGAAACGGCTATGTCGAGCGGCAAAATGCACCAAACATCGTCTCGTTTGTTGCGCATGACGAGCGATGATAGGCCATTTACAAGAGACTTCAAAGATCTCTTTTCGACGCTTATTGTCAGCCTGAAACTAGAGACACATCGAGTGCGCTTCTCCAAGTTCGAGCACACCTTCACTGCGGAAGAGGCCATCAACAATCTCGGTTCCCTAAAATTCTCTCAGTCTAATCGCATGCCAGATCCAAAAGATCCCTCGCGAATTGTCACGACCACCACAACAACAACTTTTTCCATGGCCAAAGAGATGGCCCGCGCTGTATGTCAACGGTCTGTAGATGCCAGGTTCATCGAATCCGTAGACGGACGGGTAACCACTCAATTCCCTCTCAAGGGCGCGCTCTTCCAATTGACCCCAAAGGGCATCCACATCCTGCAACGATTTTGCCAGAGAAATGGTATCACTGCCAGACACATACTGGATGTGCTTGAATCGCCTCGGAATACTATGCAATTGGTGATCCTGGAACGAGATAGCACCACAGATCAGATTTCTCAGGATCGCGCTACAATCGAAGTGATATTTCGTCGGTTTGCTGGCCAAGATGGCCCTAATATCAAGTCTTCAGTGTCAACTTCGGATTCGGATTCTGTGAGTGACTATTCCAATGGACTTGTGGGCGTAAAGCTAGCTAGGGAAAGGAAAGTGGGAGATAAAATCATTCACAACTCGTTTACGGGGAAAGCGGCAGTGGATTGGTTGATGGACTGCTGCACAATTATAGACCGTCTGGAGACGTTTGAGATTGCCACGATGTTCGTAAAACAGGGTTTGATAAGCGCGGTCTTCGAGGACAAGAACTTTATTCAGCAAAATCCCGACGCTACACTTTTCCAGCCTACCAAGTATGCCATTTATGCAGTGACGGAGCGAGGTTCGCGGATATGCGGATGGATCGCACGGGAAAAACCCGTGGTTTCTACATTCGACGGACGAATTGCGCCTCGAGATTCAAACAATGCTCGCTTAAACAATATCCTGCAAGATCCCGCGTTGCGATTACTATTCAGGGAATTCTTGCGCTATTCCCTCTGCGAGGAGAACCTGTCGTTTTACCTCGACGTTTCCGAATTCACGGCGGATTATCACCGGAAAGAAAAAGCTGGTTCATTCGCGAAAATGGATGCTGTTCGTGAAACCCTCGCTAGTGCATATGGTGAGTTCGCGCATAGCTTTCTGTCCTAGCTCCCTCTCTTTGGTCATGTTTTACTTTTGCAGTGTTTCCCACACACTGTATGTAATTCCACATATGCCTTACCCACAGTATATCTGCCACATGGTTCGTTGCATGTAATAACTGATGGAGAGAAAAACAACAGGCTTATACAATGCTTTTCTTGCTCCTGGATCTCCCTGCGAGCTGAACATCGAGCATGCTCTGCGAAACAGTCTTGCTAGCCGCATGACACGTGCCGTTGGCGACGACGCATCAATGCTGAAGAGCTTAACTGAAGTCGTGGGCCTTTTCGAGCTTGCCCAGGTTTCCGTCTTCAAGCTTATGTCAAGCGTACGTAGTCTCTTGCTCCTTTCACCGCCTCTTTGCCTCGTGCTCTGCAGTATTTAGTTTCTCCTTTTGGACATTGGGATCTGATTTTGATGCAGGATTCCGTTCCGAAATTTGTGCGCGATCCAAAGTACGCTGTCGTATTACAGGACCATGATGTCGAGCTAAATAATCCTTCCGGCCGGTCATTCTCTCCCACTGCTGCTCCCATCCCTGAACGCTCCTTAAGCCGATCTACAAAATCATGAACTTCGTTATGCTTGACGATATGTAACAGATCTTGATGTGACAAATGGTTTTTGTTTTTCCTTTCAAAATAAAACATCTCGTGGGCCCAAAAGACTTCTCGGTCCAGATGGACGAAGTTTCTTTCTGTCTTTCTAAATTTCTTTACAAAAAAAAAAAAAAAAGGTTCATGTTCATCGGTGCTTCGGAAAGATCAGACTTAATTACAGTTAATGGGTATCTACATGCGCGTGCGATACGGCATCTTCAACATGAAGTCGAAGGGTGGCATATTCGGTTTGTCTCCTAACTTTATCATGGTTCGTGGAGAACAGCAACATGTGCTCACAACGTTTCAGCAGTTCTGTCTGCCTTCGGTTTGGCCAGCAGTGTACATGCAGATTCGTCACTCTTTGCCACACGATCGCGGTTCTTTATTCTCTATTTCCAAACATCAATTTCACGCAATCCATTCCAGAACCGGGAGCCAGTCTGCCCAATCCCACTCAGCCCATGAAGTCATAAACCACGCATAATTCAATTTTCCACACATTCCTCATTTTGAATCTTTCTCGGCAAAAAAAGGAACGAAACACGAAGCGAAACGATCGGGTGAACCGTATAAGAGACACATTTCCCACACTGTTTTTCCTAATTTTATTTCCCGTTCCCCCCTCCCGTTTAACTCGACATACATCTATATCTATATATTTGTTTTCATCATTCTTTGTTTATTTACCGCCACTGGTTCTCCTTTTCCTTACTTCATCTAGCATGCTGGGAGTTTTTTTTTTTTTCTCTCAAGAAAGAAAGATTTATTGCTTTTAATGTTCCCCCCCCCCTAAACTGAGCATGGGTTAATTATTGCCTTGATTTGGTTATTTGCTTTTGTCTATATCATTTTGATATATTGTTTTCTCTTTACTTGTTCTCGTTCATCCTTTTTATTTAATTCGCTCATATCCCCTTGGTTTGTCAGCTTCTTGTCTTATTAGCACTTGTCTGCCGCATTGTTTGTGTGATTTCTTAAGTACCTATATTCTATTATTTTTCGTTATTTATATTTCTCACTTCCTATAAATATACTTTCTGGCCTGGGGATTGGTTTTGATGGTTTGGTTTGGACTATATAGATTCATCGTATCATTTATCTCATCTCATTCAGAGTGGAAACATAAAATTCATACACAGGTCTTTTTCTCCCCGTCAAACACAACTGCAAAGCCATGATTTTTATGTTTAAATATATCCATCATTCGTTTCCAACCCATGTCTCTAGACGTCTTGTTTTTGATCCTTTTCTCCCTACTCTCTTCTCTTGTTCCGATGTGTCACTCGAGACTCTTGTATAACTACAGGTACATTGTTAGCTGGTCCTGCTACACCCTCCCAGACGGGAGGATCACCGAAGGAATATGTGTGCGCGATATTCGTCATCATACATAACTTCCGACTTTCAACAAAACTTTGAAATGTAAAAAGGGAACAATATCGCGAAAAGGAGGCGAGGGAACTTTATATCGTTCTTGCTTACCCCGAACTCCCGAACTCCCGAACTCCCGTACTCCTGTCTGCTTCTCTTTCGTGTACACTAACATTTCTAAGCCCTACAAGCATGGTTTAAATTTAAGTTTTATATGATGTTCAGCAGGCCAGGGTAGAACAGAGCAAGGTGAGTTTTAAATACGCTGGTTAAATTTGAATTGTTCTGTGTTCAGTGACATGATCAGCATCCAGCAGATCCCCACTCTGCTTTAATCGTTTGTGATATTTATTACTTTTAGAGTATTTCCAGGAAACGCAATAGTTGCAACGGTTCTGAACATGCATCTAGACCCTGGTCATCGCATTTCTCTGCTGATATGAGGAGATTTCACATGCTCTAATGCACAAGATGACAGGAGAATTGAAATGCCATGGCAAATGGTTAGCAGACTCCTGACATTCAAAAACCCACAAGAATCACAGGTGAAAACCTTCAATGCTCTGGATAGTAATACATTTTAACGGGCGGATGCTTAGCACTTCATTATTCTTGAAGATCCACATAGTAATGACAAGATTGAGGAAGTAAAAGAAGGGGAAAATGAAAATGACAAAGAGCAGAACACATCAGAAGGATAAGAACAATACCAAAAGAAAGGGGAAATTTTTCTTAATTTCCCTTTCCACCTCCCCAACCTCTACCCCTCATCCCTTCCTCGATTGCCATCCAAATGCCCTCCACAACTCCTCTATCCCTCCACCTCCCGCTTCCGCCAATTCCACCGGCAACCCCCACGCCCGCAGCACCAGCCCCATTCAATCCTGCACTCTTCTCATCCCACCGATCAATTGCAAAACTCCTCACCCCTCTCCCCCATCCCTTAACTTCCCTCGGAACATCCTCCCCCCTCCACCCCACATATATACCCGTTGCATGCTTAAACAACTCTGGCGGAGACGACCACTTATATGACTTAAACTGCCACGTCTGGCCCGTGGTAAAGACTGCGACGACACGATTCCAGTAGTCCGGCTTGAAGTCTGCGGTGCTGTCAACGAGGATGAAGCGGGTGGATCTGCGGGCCTGGCTGCCTGCAGCAGCGGAGGATTGTGACGAGGGTGGTTTGTTGGCTGAATGGGAGGAGGTGGGGTCTGAGATGGTTTGAAGGGCGCGGGAGATGTAGAGAAGATTAGGGGCTGTGGAGGTGGCAAGGGTGGGGTGGTCAGGTGGCACGTAAACACCGTCTGATAGGAAAGATTTTATATTTGACATGCGCAAGAGGGAGGAGGCTGAGGGGGAGAGGAGGATTATGGGGTTTGGGCGGCGAGAGGATGGGCTGGCGGAGGATGGTGGGTTAGCTTGTTTTATCAGAGATGATCCTGAGGTAGATGTTTGAGGTTTCACGCCTGATTTTGACATCGTGCTTTGTGTGTGCTGGCTGGGTCGTGAGCGGTTGCGACCCAGAAACATTTCAGCAGTTTTGCGCACGTGAGAGAATTCCTGTATATGAAATATCAGTACCCCGATCCATAGAGGCATAGATGTTATTATAGATGATGGATGATATAAAAACTCACAGTCGGTCTAATCCCCCTGAGCACACTATTCCGATCCCCCATCTTCCGTTCCCCATTATATATCTCCTGCAACCGCGGATCAATAGTGCGAACTGGCCTGCCTCCTACCCCGACACCAGCCGCCTGCGATCCAGGGGCAACTTGCCCATCGATACCGGCACCGGAAACAGTCGAAGTTCCGCCTGCAGCCCCAGTCGCATTCCGAGCTGCCTCCTGTGCTGATCGTGCGGCAGCACCAGCACCAGCACCGGCCCCGACACCCTCTATCGAAATCGATCCTCCTTCCCCAGCCAATGGTTTGATATACTCACTATCCTCCGAAGCCCCTTCCAGCCACGTAATAAGATCCAATCGTTCCACAAAGACAAGATTGAGAACCTTATCAATTCCACCCTCACCTTCCGCTTTCCCATCCTTCACATTCTTCTCAACCTCCTCGTTAACACTCTGTGCACTAGCAATGTATTCCGGAATCGCCACGTCCCTTTTCAGCCAGGCAAAGTATATGCTACGCAGGTCGATGGGGATGTTTCCGGAGGCAGAGGATATGAAGCGGGTTGGAGTTGAGAGGGGAATACATTGGGGAACATTATATGGAGGTGTTGAAGGAAGGTAGAGCTGTGTGGCTAGGGCGAGGTCAGTCGTGGTTATTTCTGCAAGGGGATTGGAGTTGGATGTGGATGTGGATGGTGGAAGGGAGGTTGTGAGGAGGACAGGAGGGGTCGACGCAGAGGAGAGGGCGCGGCGGAGGCAGAGGAGGGGGTCGGTTAGGAGAGGATCTGTTGATGTTTGAGAATCTGCCGCCGTCGTCGCCATGGCGCGAGACGTATAGGGTAAACTACGGTAAACTACGGTTCAGTTCCGTATATCCTTTCTTATTGGCTGTATGTATGTCAATAGGATTTAAAGCAGGCACCCTCGATAGGTATATGTATGGGGTATGAAACAAGAGGGACTTGCGATGTGTCGCGTATTGTTCTGATAGTAGATGGTTGTGCTCTGTAGATCTAGATGTCTGTGATTGCAGAAAGTCGACATAGGCAATTTCGGAAAAGAGCCGCATGTGCCCAAAGCAGTTAGGAGAAGATTTTAACCACGTGATCAGATTCCATTTTGCAAGATCAAAGAAAGATGTTAACCATTGGAAAAAGAAGCTTTGGAATGGATCAAACATAAATAGATTCTCTTCTCTATTCAAGAAAGACAAAATAGCGTTTGAACTTAAGTTCTTAAATTCAAATCCACCGATAAATGAGATTGAAGATTAAAAATAAAGGATTCATCATTTCATATCGTACCATGTCATAGTAGAACTCCGAAGATACTCCAATCCATGACGTTCGGCACATCGAGTACCTAATATGATATTTTACCTGATTAACAAAAGCTGAATCAAATCGACAGTGAAAAGGAAAACAAGAGGAGAAGAGAAGAGAAAGAAATGATTTAAATAAGGACTAGAAACACAAAGGAACGAAGATATAGGGAACAGCGAGCTACCGTAGCTATCAAGGTGAAAACAATCATAAAGCCAGTGTATGTAAAATGGGAGGAAACAAACCACTTGCAGATCATTGATTCTCCTTCAAACAGATGTTGGGAACGTAAAATGAAAAGGAAATAAAAGGAGGAAAGCAATGTTACAATCCGTGAAAACCAAGGCTTCCACGTTGAGAAAACATGAAGAAAAACAGGAAAAATCCCACCCAACCTGCGCCAGATCCTAATCTGATCGTATCAACTTCAGATCAAAATCAAAATCACAGGTAAAATCACAAGGAATCAGAATCCAAATCATTCATGCCCAGGTTTTGGTTTTATACCTCGTCAAGTTCCCATGAAAAGAGAGGTTCGAAAAAAATAAAAAATAAAAAATAAAAATATTGAACATAAGCTCCCGCACGAAAGTCTCCATGCCTGCCCCTTACCGAAACGCCATCCATGCCGTTTTCCCCTATTTTGTTGCAGAGAAGTCGGAAAAAGAAGCATTAAGAGGAAGGAAACAATTGGAAGACATAGAAAATGTCCTTTTTTAGAATAGAATTACCTCTCAAAAACCAAGCCCCCAATTCCAACTCCAACACCGGCTGTAAAGTATTCAAGTTCGCTGAATTTAAACGTAACTCGACGGTTGAGTTTTAAAAAATAACCGAGTCAATAGTACGGGTACAACAAAGAAAATACCAAATAATCGCAAGAGCTAGCATCAACCCAATTCACCAAGGGAGGCGAAAAGTTTGGTTATCGCGGTTGCAACCTCGGATCTTTTGACGGATCATCGCCCGTGCCATTACCACCACTGCCACCATGTACCTCCCCGGATGGGGATTCAAGAATAGGACCATATTGCATCACAGCATCAGTGGTGACAGCTCTAGCACTAGTGCCAGTAGAGATATCATGCTTCATTGCATCCGCAGAGTGCGTTTCATTTGTATTAGGGCTTCTGGGCTCGGCCTGTGGCTGTATTTGGTTTAGCTGAGGCTGTTGCGTACTCGAACTCGGAAAGAGAGGAGGTTGGGGTTTGTCAGTAGTAGGCGTCGCCAATGTACCCCGTCGGCTCATGTAGTCACCTAAGCTTAGTTTCTTTTTTACAGGACTGGGCGCGGTAGTGCTGGAACCAGGGCTCTGAGTTGCTGGCTGCAAAGTAGTGGGTTTGATGTTAAACGGAGCTTGGGCTATGGAACTTGTTGAAACTGGTGTTGTTGAAATTGGTGTATTGGCGGACGGTGCAGCAGGACTGGCCAATTGAGATGTGGGTGGTTGAATACAAAGGTCTGAATACGGTCTATCAGGTGGTTTACGTGGCATGCGGAAGCTGTGGGCAACGGTTGATGGTAAGGAATGAAGGGGTGCGGGGGCAGCTTGAGTTGATATAGATAGGGACAACGCGCTGGCACCTGGCGATGCCGGGATCGTGCTAGTATGCGGATTCTTGGGCGGAGTCATTGTTATGTCGGCGTCGGTGTCCTTCATATCGACATCATCTTTATGGTGATGAGCGGAGCTAATACCATGGTTGAAACTTGGTATCAGAGGAAAAGTACGAATTTGTCCTGGAGACTGATTAATACGATTATTCATTTCCTGAAGCTTCAATCGGTCCTGATGGCATCGTTTGAGAAGCCGGGTTGTCAAAGGAACAAAGGACGGCCGTCGAGTGGGTTTGGGAGGCACAAAGTACGGGTCACTCTCGTCTGGTTCCGTCTGCATTTCCGAATCAACATATATGGGACGAAGAGGGGATGTGACGTTTGGGGTGCTTGATCTTGAATTTTTCTTTTGAGATGATTGCGAACCACGCCCTGAGGTAACGGACGTGGGTGATCGTTTTCTAGGAGAACTAGACGATCGATGGGCGTTTGTAGGGTCTAAGCGTGAAGTTTTCGGTTGAGTGTGAGAGGTGGCCGCCTGTTTATGATATGTAAGTTAGTACTCCTCTCAAAACGGAAGTCCTGAAAGATTTCGGGAACTTACACCAGTTTTAGTAACCTGGGCAGAGGCACCACTGGTTCTCTTCTTCTTCTTTGGGGGGTGTTGCTGGTCATGCTCAAGTTGCTCGAATTTCTTTTCTGCCGCCGCAATTTTGCGTTTCTCCCGCGCAGAAAGCTCACCAGGTATCAAAGCCAATGGGTCTGTAGGACTGTGCGATATGGGGGTCAGATCAGGACTTCGTGGATGATTTGAAGTGGACCTTGATCTGCTCTCAACTCGATCCTCCTCGCCGCCTTGAGCCTTCACAGCTTCACTTCCAGCTCGACTGTTAGTTGCAATGCCAGTGTTAACAGGAGAGATTGCATTCTTCGCTTTGCTCTTTTTCCGCCTCCCATTTACCTGTTTCTGGGTGGGTTCTGCATGCTTTGGAGGCCGGCGACAATCAATTTTTGCTAGGTGACAGGCACTCGAGGAATCGCAAGCACAACCTCCGAAATTTGCCAAAACATTACTTATAGAGATTGCGGCTGCGTCAGAGATGCCATCATTGGACCCTTCCTGCTTCACAAACCCGTTGGAAGGAAAAGTCTGGGGGTCTAGATACCAGCACATGGTTATCTCTGATTTGGCCGTAATATCCTGGCTGGCAACGAGGCAGAAGTGATATTCAATGTCATTGGTGATGACGGTCTTCATGGTTACGTTTGGGCGACACGATCGTCGAACATAGCGCAGCATAGAGCCCTCTTTACGACTGTCGATATATATTGGGAGCTGAGGATGGAAAAACACAAAAGGTTCTGGATGGCGCAGCTCTTGCCAGCGGCTGTTGGGGTCCAAGCAGTAATCGCGGAAATGGCCTACTTTCCCTTTGACTTCGCCAATTATTTCATCTTTGCGAACATCGTTCTCCACGGTCAGAAACTGCCACGTAGGGTGCCTTCCATTGTATTCCACAGTAGTGTCTGTAACGGTTTGTTTCGAGAGGAGTGGCCACTGAGCAGGGTCAAGAGGACGGTCTAGGTAAGTAAAAACATCATTTGAAGAGCGACCGTTTGCAACGAGAGCAAGGTTTACGGGATCCTGAACCCAAGACGAAAGATCGGTTGCAAGTTTAAGATTGTCGAACAGATTGCTGGGAATATCCACATTCGCATGGTCATTATCGTAAAGGTGAAGGAATTCCTGGGAGTAGAGGGGAATGCTGGGTATAAGGGATGCTTTGGTAGGGCTCATAGCCGACACGGATGTCGCTCGCTTCCGATTGTCTGGACCTGATTGTGAAGGAAGAAGACCGGTAAGAGAACCTATAGAGTTTGAAGCGCGATGGCTAGACTTCGATTTCTTTATTGGAGGGTGGTGGTTGTTGTCTCTCGAGTTCGAGCCGCTTCTCTCGTGAGACCAGCCGTTGGTTTGATCACCGGTCGTATGGGAGTCCTTTGTCTTCTTCCTTTGGGATTTCGAGCCGGATCTCTTGGTCTTTCGGTCACCGCCATCGCTCTGTTCCTCTCGGCACCTTTTCTGCAATTCTGTGGCGAGATTTGAATCGAGAGGTCTTGGTTCGCAATCTGTGCAGTTGTGAACTTCGGGGACTTCATCACCGCCGTAGTAGCATAAGATGTGTTGCCAAGTTTCACAACGTTCACAGAAAACGGTGTGGCCATCATCATCCTCGAAGGCACAGATGCACTTGATGGTATAGGGCTCGTCGTCATCTTCCTGGACAGACTGGGCGACATTACCATTTGGTAGAGGAGAGGGGAGCGGGTGAACGGTGACCGAAAGAGGGTTTGCTGTGGAATGCGTCGTTGCGGCTAGAGAGAAGGTATCTGTCATAATCTGACAGTGCACCTCCTCTAAAACACGATGTTATCTCTTAGTTCGAGACCTTTTGATCCGATAAACTCTGTCGAGTTGATGAATTATGATGAGAGGGGAGATGTGAGGAGTGAGTCGTTTGTTTCTCAAGAGACGCGCGCCAAACTTTTCCTGTTGGATTGTGTTCGTTCCGACCGAAGAAGTCATCAACTAGAAGAACATGAACACTATGCGGGAACGAGAAGGACTGCAAGACCATCAGAGAATATCACAGGTCAAGCGGTGTGGCAATGCGAGAAAATAATGTGTTGCGAAGGGTGGGATTATGTCTTGTCAACGGATTTTGACACCTTGACATGGAAGAGGAAATATGGAGGTCAAAATCTAGAGGACACGAGATGAAATCGATAGGGCAGTCGTTTGAGCAACGCAGGTGGCAACGATGACGATGAATAACGGATGGATGTGGTATTGTTGTTGGAATTTGTTGTGGTGCTTGTGTTGCTGATGAAGCTTGATGAAGCGCATACGAAAGAGACGACGGAATCGAGGCGGAGGAGTTGGTGGGGTGGATGACGATGGGATAGTCGACTATTTGAAATGAAAGGAGGATGGAAGAGGAGGAAACGAGGAGGAAGAATGGAGGAGAGGAAAGGGAGGAGGGAAGGAAGGATGGCTAAGTGGAGGCGGGATCCGTGGAAAGTCCCAGCAAGAGGAACATGAGCAAGAAAACCTAAGAGAACGAGAAAGGTTGAGAGGCAGAGGAGAGAAGCAACACGAGACGAGAGGATAATGTAAGAGATGAAGTGGAGGTTGAGGTTGAAGAAGTTAAAGATAGCCGAAAGAATAAGAAACGAGAGAAAAACGAGGAATGAGGGAAAACAGCGAGAGGGCAGAGAGGGAAAGAGCGAAGGAGCGAGGGAGGACGCCCGTGCTAGGCTGAGAACGGAATAGCGCGGAGGCCTGTGGTTATAGGCGCTAGGCCGTTTCTGGCTAGCGTACCACGGCATCAGCGCTGGTTGTAGTCGACAGACAATACGAGGAGAAAGGGGGGGAGAAAGAGGGGAGAGAGAGGGAGAGGGAGAGGGAGAGGGAGAGGGAGAGGGAGAGGGAGAGAGAGAGAGAGGGAGAGAGAGAGAGAGAAGGTGGGGGTGGAAGAATGAGTAAATAAATGAACTTGGAGTATGCGGGAGGGAGGGGAGAGGAATAGCGATATATTCTACGACGTGTGCTCAACACTCTGTCAGAGTGAAGGTATGTTCTGCATAGGCCTGCTAGTCAGCAACTCAGTCAGTAGTAGCCGCAGCCTCAAAAGGAGGGGAAATGTTGTCGCTTTTGGCGTTCACCACTGGCATTCGTAGCATAGCTTGGATGGCATAAGGTGAGATGCCATGCGATGGGGTGCAATAACTGCTGCTGATCTGCTTGGCCTTCAACAACAACAACAACATATGCTGCCTGTTGTCAGCCTTGTTGACGCTCTTGGTCCTGTGCATACATACCTAAAGTAGGCATGAAACATCATCCTAAGGACATCTGTATTTGTCTGCAAGGAAAGGGTTGTTAATATGAGCAGGAATTCCACTTGAACTCGAAACTCCCAAAATCCTCCTCGTCTGAAAGGGTCACAACATATATACCAACCTACACATACCTACCTGAGGCTGTCAAGAAGAAATGGTAAACACGCAGTTCAACAGCATCTGGAGATGATTACCTGAGAAGACCCACCCACCTAGGACCCATGTTGGTGTGAGTGAAAATAAAAAGGAACAAATTGCAATCTAAACACAGCTGTGGATCAGTCAGTGTAAAAGTTAGCATAATGAAGACCTCAAGAGAATGGTCTGGAGATGTTTCATAAAATGTGATCCTGTGAAGTTTAATGCCCCTGAGTGGATTAATCTTATCTTTGCAAAGAAATAACCTTCTGTCTTGAATGAGAATGATGATGATGATGATGTTGATGAAAGAATAAAAACCCTCTAACAACTGACAAGAAAATTTTCACTAAACATCATGCTCTATCATCAGTAATGATAAGAGAAATAATAGGATAGAAAAGCTGATTTTTGAAAAATGGGAGAAAAAAAGAAGAGATTTTAGAGCAAAAAATCCAGTGTAAGATTAGTGCATATTAAGCCTGACGTGCATGTTGTGTTGAGTGGACAATCACACCCAGCAATCAGGAGGATAATATGAGAGGAAGAAATGAGAAATGAGAACTGGAAAGGAAAGGGAAAAGCCAGAAAGGGCCAGGCATAGATGTGGTTAGGTTAGGTACCTAGTGTTAGAAGAGGCAAAAATGAATCCCATGATGAAGTAAAAAGAGAACCAAGGACGAGGAAATTAATGAGGGGAAGAGGAGGAAGTTAAAGCGGAAGAAGATATTTAAGAGGGCCCTCAACCAGGAGAGAAAAAAAAAAAGAAAAAAAGAAAAAGAAAAAGAAAAAGAAAAAGAAAGGAAAAGAGAAGAAAAGAAAAGAAAAATTCAAAAATCAAAAACGAGCACCTAAATCAAATGAATATTCTCTTTGACTGGCGCCCTATCATGCCTTGCCCTTTTTGCCCTGCCTGTTGCTTGCTTTGCTTTGCTTTCATCACGACAGCCCCCCTTGAAGGCGATGGATGCGTTCAATACACAAATCGCTGCAGGCGACTATTCATCCTTGTTGCCGCGCCCCGCGGTCATGTCCGCTAGTTACGGTGGTGGTCTGGTGGGGCCTGGTGGAGACGGAGTGACCTTATTATCACTTGGGTTAAACTACCTCTTCCCCTGCCCATCTCTGCGCCGTAACAATGATCATTCGACATGTAGTCGATCACTGGGGCAGGCGCGTTTTCTTCTTCGAACGACTTTTTCAATTGCTCTACGGAGTAAATGATAGCGATGATGACGAGCGAGACAAGACTGAACTCGTAGTCTGTACGGAGTAGAGCCCCTTTGGTAGACAAGTGGCAGTGAAGCCCTCAGCCACCTTATATTTCCTATTGTGAAAGACTTTGTATAAATTACACGGTCTCAAAAAAGTCAACTGATGCTATCAGTTTTGCTTCTTGAAATTCTGTTTACCCGTCCCCCAATCATGACAAACATGCTTGACAACTTCAGTTTTCAATAAGGTTAATTGAATAGCGCCCCTATGTGAAGATATACCTCAAAATTTTCTATTTTCAGCTCGGGGCGTCTCTGGTGCCGATCTAGAGAAAAGTATGTCTTTTCTGCGACGATTTCTGTAGTGGGTGAATACATTCAACTAAAAATTCGACTCTCAACGTTACATATTTCCATGGCATTCAGTTACGTGTGTACATGTACAACTTCTAGCCAGGGCGGAAGCCAGAAATATATCGAGATTGATCCTCTAAAAGAAACATTACTTCCTTTAACTAATGGGGAGCAAAAGATCTCAGGCCACGGGGCAGCGACCCAATTCCGGAAAAACAAGATTGACCATCAAACGACTCGACGCAGCTACCAGTGAAAAGAGTTGATATTCAACCCACTCGACCCGCCCACCACAACATATTTACACGAATTCTTCAGGTGTTTTGTCGCGAGGAAGTGCTCCTCACCCTCCTTTGGTAGATTCACTCGCGAGATACCCCGGCAAGCTCTCAAACACCCCCCACTCCCCCCAAGGGAATTGCGGTCCTCACATTTGCGGGTTGTATCAAAATCAATCAAAACAGCCTTCGATCCGCGAACGGAAATTTGAATTGATTGATATTGTCGTGATTAATCTCTAATTTGTGGAATTGAGACAATGTTTCCTGACAGACGCTGAGATCCTCTTCTCCACGTGACTTTCATCGGTGATGCATTCCACCAAGAACCCAGTCACCCGGCCATGTCCAGTCAAGTGCCCGAGAAACCGTGGAGCGATGTCAGGGCTGTCAATCAGCCATGATCAAGCGGTTGTTTTGTTCTCCATATACTGGATCTCCCATTCGAGTCGCGCGAATTTGGTGATGACGGGCATGTTACTTCATAAATACCCGTATGGATTCTCTGGCCTATCACTCTGTCTGAGTAATCGATGAAGGTTTTGAGCCATTGATTTTTCACACTGGGAAAGTCAGTCGGAACAAGCCCGTTCAGAGTAAGGATGGCCTGTTTCTGGATGTTTGGCCGCTAGGCCGTCATTTTGATTTCCATGAGGGACGTCTGGAAGAATGCTAGCTAGAACGGGCCCGAAGCATATGTCTTCCAGTGCGTACGGACCTGGGTTGATAGAGAGATATTTGACATATCGATTGCCAACTGGGATGTGGAAGAAGCTTTGATCATCGTCACAAGCTTCAGCCTGAAGCAGCTCCATTACTGGGCGGTCGCGCTTCGTCGACATTTTCTGAGATAGGGAAGAAAATATGTGTAAAATGCATGTGTATAAATGATCGATCCGTGTATAGCTGGAAAGTGAAATGGGAGATTTGGAGATTTGGAGAAAATAGTGACCTGTTATAAAGAGCTTCTCAGATTAGAAAAATGATCATGGAAAAGTTACATCCTTTCTCAGTGCGAAATGGGTTTTTAATAGTTCGTCAATCATCAACGGTCAACGAGAGATAAACTCACTCCAATCTGGCCAACTTCTTGCCACTTGAGATTCCAAGGCGTCTGGGAACACTGATGTGCTATGTTTCTATGAATAGATGACGACCTAATGCTGAAGAAAGATAGAATGATATATCAGAAGGGAGAAGTTCAAATCATCCATTCTTACTTCGCTGGGGGAAAGCCTCTTCGGAGTCAGAGATGTTTCCATCTCTGGCAATCAAATGGCACACTTAGGAATTGGCAGTTCCGAATAATACACCGTGTGCGTCCTGTAGAAAAGGTGGCAGGAGATAGAGATATATGTAAGTCGCATTCCCCGAGGCCCTGATGATTATTAATAAAGCCTGCTTGCGCGGACTGTTGGATCGTACATATAGTGTAAATATAGTTCCCGTGTTCTGAATGAACAGCCGCACAGCCGTAACTTTCCAGTCGCAAGCATTTGTGAACCTTATCCAGCGTTTTGGAATAAAATATGGAATATCCATGGAAGTCACTTGTTATACGAGTTCCATGGTTCTGTTTGCTGGCTTCCTTGATTTGTTGCTGGGATCCAGCTGTCAAAACTGGTCCCTGAACTAGTTTCTAGTTAAACCCAAGTAGTTCTGGAAAACTGTTAGCCGAACTGTTAGCAAGGAACAATTATTCCTTAAAGGAAAGGGGCATGTTTCTTCACGCACATACAGACGCCGTAGCTCAGTGAGTTCACGCAATCAACCTATTTTGGTGTTCACCAGCCAGATATGTTGGTAGTGGCTGAAGCTGAGTTGAAGTGCTGGAATGGTTTTTCTGAGGGTGTGTTGGTTAACGTCACCAAAACGCCTTAGGGAGAAAGTCGAGA